CAGCACCCCCAGAGACAGCACCCCGAGTAGGACCACCTCCAGCAGGACCTGAGTCACCAGTGACCTCAACAGGCGCAGGTACCGGGGGGTCTACCTGAGAAACACCTGAAGGAGCAGGACCTAGCGCGGGGAGGGGGTCTACCTGGGGAGGACCTGGAGCGAGAAAGAGCGGCGGGGGGGGGCGAGAGGCAGTGCGGTAGGGAAAGAGACGGTAGAAGGGAACAGACTCGTCAAAGGTGACGTCCTGAGACGCAAAGACACGGCGCGAGGTGGGCTCGTAAAACTGCCAGCCAGGCGCGTCAGGAGGAAAACCAAGGAAGACGCAGGGAATGGCGCGAGCAGAGAGCTTGTCCACGGCGAGATCGCGGACAAAGGCACGAGCACCCCAGACCCGGAAACGCGACGCATCGCCAACCTCCCCCGTCCACAGCAGCGTGGGCGAGGTCTCCGGCAAGGAGACACGGGGCCAGAGGTTGAGCTGATGCGCGGCGTACCGGACCGCGAACGGCCACAGAAAATGGGGAGCCGCCGCATGGATCATGGAGGTACGAGCGACCTCCATGACTAAGCCAATGCGGCGCTCAGCAACCCCATTCTGCTGCGGAGAGGCCGGAAGCGTGAACGACTGGGTGATGCCGTGCTCCGCACAGAAGGCTGCCAAGAGGTCAGAGGAAAACTCACCACCTCTGTCAGAGTGCAGACGCAGGACAGGAAAGTCCCGCTCGAACCGCTCGCGGAGCTGGAGACGCACAGCGCGGATCCAGGGGATCAAAACAGCAGGGACGTCTCCCTTGCTGCGCAAGGGGAAGACCGTGGTGTAACGCGTGTAGTCGTCGACAACCAGCAGAAAGTACCGCTCACGGCCCTGTCCCTGGACGCGGGCTGGGCCCCACACGTCCAGGTGAAGCGTCTGCAGGGGAGCCTCTGTGGGAGGAAACGAGGAGGAGTGAGGAGCGGCGCGCTGCCGCCCCTCGACGCAGGGAATGCAGGGCGGCGCAGGCGAGGGAGGGAGGGCAGGCAGAGACCTGGGAAGCCCAGAGACCAGAGAGCGAGAGTGCATGCTACGAAGGCGAGGCAGGGAGGGGTGACCAAGGCGGTGGTGCCACAGGAGCGTGTCGTGCGACAGGCGGCGGCACTCACACTGGGTAGCTACCTGAGCAGACGCGTACAGCTGCGGAGACAAAGGAGCGGAGCGTGAAACAGTGGTGAGGGTGTACAGACTGGACCCCGGCTCACGAGTGAACGTGGCCAGGTGGCGGCCAGTCTTGGAGCACGTGCAGATCGCCACACGCTGCCCTCCAGGAGTCCAGGTGTCAACCCAGTGATCCTGGAGGACGGCGTTGCTCACCAGGTTCGTAGAGAACGAGGGAACGTGGAGACCTGACAGCTCACCAGACGGGACCGCCGGGCACGGGAGCACAGTCGTGGCTCGTGCAAGCACTGGGCCCCCAGAGGGGTCAGCCAAGGAGACTGGGACCGGTGCAGGGAGGGGAGTGACGGTGGTGCTATCGCGAAAGAAACAGCGGGAAGCACCAGAGTCAAGTGTAAACGTGTGCAAGGCCTGAGCCGACTCAGTACCAAGGGGAGCAGACTCACTAGCACCTAGGGCTGCAGCCCTTATACCGGGGTCAATACCAGGGTCAGGCGGCACACACAAGTAGCAGTCACCCTCAGCACTAACAGTCAATGCATACATGGCAGCAAGAATAACATCATAGTCCAGATCAAAGATAGGCACATCACGCCTAAGCAGCTCTGCCCAGTTGGGGAACTCAGTAGCATCAGGATACTTGGTACGCCAGGCGTCACTAAGCCTAGCAAAACAACGATACTCAGTGTGAAAACCGTTGCAGGGGCGACCCTTGCGGGGGCCAGTACGAATGACATAGGGGCAGCGGTCAGAACCCCGAGACGCCCCACGCCCAGCATACCAGTCATTGAGCTGCTGGGAGGTGAGGGGAGGAAGCTGCTGCTGCTGCTGTGGCTGCTGCTGCTGCTGCTGCTGCTGCTGCTGCTGGCCACCCTTCTGGCCAGATCCACCCCCACTCCCACCTCCACCGCCACTGCCGCTGCCTCCTCCCCCACCACCGCCGCCGCCGCCTCCACCGCCCCCGGTCCTGCCGCCACCCCACCCACCGCCTCCACCCCCACGGCCACCCCCACCACCTCCACCACCCCCGCCGCCTCCACCACCGCTCCCTCCACCGCCACCTCCGCCACCCCTGCCACCCTTGCCGCCCCTGCCACCACCACGCTTCCCACCAGGAGCGGAAGCCGCTGCGACCTTCTCCGCACCGAGGAAGTCGACAGCAGTAGCAGCAGAGGCGTAGGAGGGGTCAAGAGGGGAGGGGGAGCACCCCTCAAAGAGGGGAGTGCGGGGAGTGCCACGAGCAGCACCGACAGCGAGGATGTTCTTCTCTGCTGCGACCAGCTGCTGCTCGAAGTCGTCCAGAGTGATAGTTGGAGGATCCTTGGCAAGGAAGTAATCTCTGACAGAGCGAAGAGTGTCAGGGAGGCGGGTGACGAGGATGTAGAGGGTGAAGTACAGCGGGGGGCGGTTCGTGGCGAGGAACTCGTCGGTAAGAGCGGCTCGAAAGCGGGCGTCACTAGCGCGGAGGTGAGTGATAAGGTCGGCAGCAGTGTGAAACGAGGCTAAGTCTGGGAACAGGTAAGGCAGGATGAGACTACCAACGGTGGCTGTGGTCGGGGCGGAATAGCGGGCAACGACAGCATCATACAGCGTCTGAGCAGTCTTAAGCTGGTTGAAATGCGCGCGCTCAGAGATCGGTAGGTGATTGCGAATAACAAGGCGCGCGACTGCATCGCGGAGCTCCCACTGTGCTCGTTCAGGGGCAGGAGCAGTCTCAGCGGGAGTAGGGACAGTGCCGGTCACATAGGCTAGCAGTGACACTCCGTCTGCGACGTCAGTCATAAGGTAAAGGCGCAGGTCACTAAGCCAGGTGTCAAACTCGATGGGGCGGCCGTCAGACTCAAAGGCGAGAACAGTAAGGGTCGCCATGGTTGCAGCGCAGGCAAAAGTAGCAGGCTCAGGCAGCAGGCTCAGGCAGCAGGCAAAGGCTGCAGGCTCAGGCAGCAGGCTCAGGCAGCAGGCACAGGCAACAGGCAACCGTAGCAGGTAGGCAGTTGATACAGGCGCAATGCGAGCAGGTAAGGAAACACGCAGATCAGTGACAGGCCGCGCGCAGGCTGGCGGGGCGCGACGAGAGCTGCGCGGGCGGTGCGCGAGCCGCGTGCGGGCTGCGCGCGGGCTGCGCGGGCTCAGTGCGGGCCGTGCGGGCTCGGCGCGGGCTGCACGGACGGTGCGCAGGGCAGCTGCGGGCCGCGCGGGCGCAGGGCGGGCTGCACAAGCGACCTACGGGGCGCGACGCGGCTGGCAGCAGCTGTGCGCGGTAAAAAAAATGGCGTGCGCGCGCAGCCGAGGCGCGCGCGGGCAGCAGGCTAGGCAGACACGTATGTAAGGCAGGTAGGCAGGCCGTTGGGGAGGTAACTTAGTACATGGTGGGCCCTTAAGCTTAGGTCTAGGAACCTGCTCTAGATGCCATGTCGAGAGAATCAGGCAAGGTTGGATTGACTATCGAGAGTTTGGTACAAAATAACACAACCCTAAAGTGTTATCCCCTATAACATCTACCCCACTACAGCCTACCAATATATATCACACATATATATCATTTGACACCCGAAAACGGCTTCCTTGAACGGGGAAACCGATCTCGAAACTGTCGAACAGCTGGCAAGCAGCTCCAGGCACGCAGCGTCAAACGAGTGTTTTTCGGGTGTTCAGTCCCGATACGCCCTCGCGCCTGCGCCCCACTCCTGCTAAGTGCGATTTAGCCACGTCGTTGTCTGTTGCAGCCCGTAAGTGTCGGCGGGTCCAAAGTTCCCGTCTGTCCACAAGCACTTCTGCCGAAAATCGTCGACGACTCGCCCGCCAGTACGGTAAGCGCCGCACTATCCGGTCGGACGGGATAAAACTCAACCCCCGCTAAATTCGGGCGGCTTGAGCGTCTATCTCTCCAGCCGTCGGGGTCTTCTGACGCAAAACTCCATTTGCGCCTGGCGAGTTCTTCGAGCTGCCCTTTTCTTCACAGTAGAAACCTCCGAAATTGTCGCCCATGCTGACGCAGGCCCGTTGTCTTCAGCTGCCGAAGATTCTCCCGAGAATCTCGCGCACAAGATGACGGCGAGCCACCGGCGCCACTTGCCGCGTGCAGACGATCCCGAAATCTCCGCGCACTGTTGGCGTAGATCTGCCGACGCCAGCTGCCACATTTGCTGACGAAGTCGAGGCCGTTCATGCAGATGCCGACGCAGATCCGCTGACGCCAGCTGCCACACGAATAGACCTACGAAATCGTCGGGAAATCGCAGCGGAAATTACTTACGAAAACGTCGCGACAGCCACTGCTGCCCGTCGCCCGGGGGGAGGGAGGTCACGGTCGATCGCGACCGTTCGAGCTAAGGATCTGGCGGTGCCGAAGGAGTGCCCCGTAAAACCATGGCCGCGAAGAGCAACTAACTAGTTCTCTTGGCCGGCCTACGCAACTCCTGGACCCCAAGGCATCCTTACTCGTCCCCCCCCCCCCGAGGGGTATTACACTCTAAAAAGCGGGGTAGGCTAGGAAAGTAGCTCTGATACCAGGTGTTATGAATGAACTTGTCAGAGTGCGCAGATATCGAATAACGAGAATGGTTGACTACTGAATGACGATACAATGAGAAAGGCACGACTAAATAGGGGAAATCCTAGCTAGGCGAGGGTTCGGGATGGGATGGCTTGGTGATGGTTGCGGTTGGAGCGGAAGCCGACTCGGGGGTGGTTCGGTGCGACGAAATAGGCCGAACAGGTTCGTCGCGACACCTTCGGGATGTACTCGCTAAAGTGCGAGTACAGTAAGGAATTGTAATTCCTTACAAGTAAATTCGTGAAATAGTTTATGAAACATTATAAATATAATTCAAACAAGTACTTTTCTTCTTCATTTGAGCTTGACAAGCCTGGGCCTCACCCCGACCACACCCGCCCTTGCATCTCTGTAAGAATACCTGAATAGGAGCAAATATCACATAGCAAGCATTGACAAAATGAAGGCCAGAAGTTACATGAAAGTTGTAAAACATACTATGTAAATTATCCAGGATGTCAAGAAACAAGCAGGGTAGGTACCTTGCTTCATGAAGAAACTTCTTCACAACCATTGGTAGATTCGGCTGGCCCCCACTGCTGTGCTTCCCTACGCCTGCAAGCATTAGACGTTACACACAGATCAAGAAAACACACCAGCAAAGAGCAGCCAGAAACAACTGCAGTGAGCCCTTCAGTCGTCCAAGCACCTTGCACGCGCATGCATTCACAACCACCAGCTCAGGTATAAAGCCCAGCGTTTTAAATCAGGCAATTGCACAGCAACCAAGCCTTTGCTTTCACTCATCCAGGCACCACTATGGCAGGCGCTCACCAGTAATGACCATCAGCTCAGGCCGAGCCGACGACAACACCTTCGCCGGGAGAACCACACCGCTGCTCCCCCACACCCGCTCTTCCGCACTCATCTCCCTCGCTGCACCGCTGCTCCGCCACACTTGCTCTTCCCCAAACGCCTCCCTTGCTGCAACACTCTCCTGCAAACTCACACCCACCTGCCCCTCCAGCTGTTTCAACCTCTCTTCCAGCGCAGATACAGCCTCCCCCGGTAAAAGCCCGTGCAGATCCAGCTCCCATAAGGACCGCCCCCTGTTTCTGTGCGCCAGAATCTTCCCAGCAGCTTCCGTGTGAAGCCTCTCTGCCCGCTCCTTCTCCTCTCTTGACGCGTGAGAAAGTTTCCGGGCAGCTGCATGGTCGCCCCTGTCGTATGCCCGGGCAGCTTGTGCTGCGAGTCGTGCGTGTGCTCTGAAGGTGAGGGGGAGGAGAGGGGAGGGAGGGGGGGCGAAAGGAAGGATGGGGAAAGTGCAGGCAGCCAGCAACGGAGTATGGGGCGAGCATGAGGTGTGAGGATGAGTCGAAGAGGGATTCATTCTGAGCAAGGATGGGTCAAAGAGGGATTCATTCTGAGGAAGGATGAGTCATCAACAAGGGAGGATGAGACGAGAAGAGGAAAGGAGCAGACAGGAGAGGTGAGGAGACGAGAGATTACATGAATTAAAAGATGCCTCTCTCACCTTGATGCTGCCAATGCCTCTGCTCGAAACGTCCGGAACACATCCACGTCATCACAGTCACCCTCCACGTCACCATGGCCATCAGTCTCCCTGCCTCCTCCCTCACTCCCCTCCCCTGCAACCTCAGCCTCGAAGCTCCCACCCCTCTGCTTCCTGCCCTCCTCCTCCTCTACCCCTCCCTCCCTCACATCCGCCTCGTCCCCCATACCCCCCATCCCCCCCTCTCCCCCCGTTCCCTCCGTTCTCCCCGTTCCCCCCTCGCCCCCCATATCCGCCAGCACGGCTTCCGCAGCCGCGCGTTTCCCCCCCACCGCCGCCAGCACCCCTTCCACTACCTCTCTGTCCGCCATTGGAACCTTCGCAGAAGCTCACCCGTCACGGCTTCCCTGCACGCCGCCGCCCCCGCGGGACCTGCGCATGACGCCGCGACAGCGGACGCTGACGACGCGGCAGCAGACGGCGTTCGGGACGTCTCGAAACTCGCTGGCGACGCGACGGCTCGCGCTGACGACGCGAGAGTGGCGGCGGCTGCTCCCGAGGAGCACGCGCGCATGTCGCTGCTAATACCGGGGTGTGACAATAGCGAGGATAATTTCTTCGGCCGTCTCGCGGCGGCAGCAGGACTGGTGGTTTCCAACTCCGAAGAGCAAACCGTTTCCGAAGCTTCCTTTGAAGCTTCGTCAGTAATCGAGGGAAACTCGGTGGCTGAAGTGACGAGCGGGGCGCGCGAGCTGTTTGCGGAATGCGCGGGATAGGCACGACCCGCGAGCGCGGAGTTCACGGAGGCATCGGCGGGAAGAGAGTGCGCAAGGGGGAAGGACTGCGCCATTGCAGCGGACCACCCCACGCGCTCAAACTTCTCCCCCCGTTTGCCGCGCTTCCCCGCACCCCGTTGTTCCCCAGCCAAAGGCATCGCGCCACGTAAGCTAGCACTGAGTCAACGGTGTTCAACACGCGTGAATGGGATATCGAGCGCAATTCACCTTGGAATGGAAGTTTCACGTGCCTCAATACGTGAAATAGTGACAGGAGGATGTGAGTCGGGGTTTCGGGAGAACTGGTAACCAGACGATGCGAAATCATATCGGAAAATCCCTTACCCCGATGCAATCTGCTCCGCCGAACCGAAAGAGACTCCCATTAGTTGATGTAAGCGTCAGACAATCGATATAATACAGGTAGTCATGCTACACGCAGGTCAAAATCACATCTCAAAAGTGATAACGAATCAGAAAGTCTGATAAAAAACAAACCACCACTTGCAGGACCGCTTCACGTTTGGGCCTGGCAAGAGAACCTGTTTCGGAACCCAAAACACACTGTTTCGGCCCTCTAGTTCAAGTAGACAATGGCCAACCCTCCCATCAACAAGGGTCTACATTGATAAGACAGGACCGGCGCTCCTTTGTGCATCATCAAACGAGAGCGTAACACTGGAACCATGTTAGCCACCGCACTGCACCACACTGCACGGTGAAGTCTTCTTGGTCAAGGTCCGTGTATGCTTGCTCTCTGCAACACAGCCCCCCTTACAGTCAGTCAAAGCCCTCTACCAGTCCCCACCAACCTTCTAGTCCTCAGTACTCTTCCCGCCTCACTCCCCCTTCCCACCTGCACTATCCTCCTCATCATCATCACCATCACTCCCCCCACCACCGCCGGCGGCAGCAGCGGCGGCGGCGGCAGCAGCGCGCATGGCTTGCGGCTGGGCACGGGACGAAAAGATGGTCCCGGCAGATCGAGCAATATCTTTCTTTCGCCGCCCGGACGAGTGCGGCTCGAGAGAGGAAGTTTCCGAGGAAACTGACGCGCTAGATGGCACGCGGGGAATGTCGACTGTGGTGTTGGTGACGACCCATGGGTGGTCTGAGATGGCGTGTGGGGTTGGTGGGGAGATGGAGATGGGGAGATGGGGATGGTGGAAGGTGATGGAGAAATACGGGTGGGGAGATGGGGAGGACGCAATAAATTACTTGAGGCGCCTCAAAAATTGATCGCTAGAGGGCACGCAGGGGACTTCAAATAAAACCTGAGAGCACTGGCACCCTTGCCTGGAATAACATGCAATGACAGCCATACTCCAAATGAGGCGCACAGGCATAACACCATACCGAGAACGAGATGCAGCGGCAGGCGATGGTTCGGATCAAAGGCCAGCATGCGGTGCACGCGGTCCTTGGCTGCTTCCAACACCAGCGGCCAAGGAAGCAGCCTCACCAGCATCTAACTATGTTCGTCTGAGTTCGTGTCAACCTCACAGCCATACCCAACTAGTACCAGGTGCAGCAACAGCCGTACCATCAACCACCCCCGTATGGAATCAGGCTCCGCCACGTGCGAGAGATTCCATACCAAAAATGAGGTGCAGCGGCAAGCGATGATTCGGATCGAACGCCAGCATGCGGTGCACGAGATCCTTGGCTGCCCCTGACACCAGCGGCCACACGCCTGAGCTCGTGTCCACCTCACCTCACAGCCATACCGTTAACAAAAACCTTGTGAACAGCAGCAGCAGCACCCTTACCGAGAATAAGATGCAGCGGCAAGCGATGGTTGGGATCAAAGGCTAGCATGCGGTGCACGAGGTCTTTCGCTGCCCCTGACACCAGCGGCCACACGCCAGAGCTCGTGTCCACCTCGCAGCGCCGAATCAGCTCATACACGCCCGCGTCCGTGTCGTCCCAGAAGGGAAGCTTCTGGGAAAGCAGCGTGTAGAGGATGACCCCCAGGCTCCAGATGTCTGCCTCGTGCCCGTACAGCCCGTCCAGCACTTCGGGGGCCATATAGAAGGGGGACCCCGCGTATCCTTTCATGCGCTGGCCTGTATGGGGTGGGGAAGGTGGACGTGAGCGCTTATCATTGAGGCCTGAGGCTCCAGATGTCTGCCTCGTGGCCGTACAGCCCGTCTAACACCTCAGGGGGCATGTAGAATGGCGAGCCGGCATACCCCTTCATGCGCTGGCCTGTAGTGGTGGGGGAAGTTTGGGGTTCAGGTTGGCTCAGTGGCGGCCGTACAGCCTGTCCAGCACCTCCGGCGCCATGTAGAAAGGAGAACCGGCGTATCCTTTCATGCGCTGGCCTGTGGGAGGTGGGTGTGGGGCAGAAGGTGTGGTAGGGTTGGGGGGGGGGGGGGGTGGGTAGAGGATGACCCCCAGGCTCCAGATGTCTGCCTCGTGCCCGTACAGCCCGTCTAGTACCTCCGGGGCCATATAAAAGGTGGACCCCGCATACCCTTTCATGAGCAGGCCTGTTGGTTTTGGGATTCGGGTTTAGGGGGAAGGGTTGGGTATCCCTTCATGCGCTGGAATGTGTGGGGATGGGGTTGACGTTGAGGTTATGGTGAAGTTAATGGTGGGAGGGGAATGTGGAGGATGGGCGTCTATCCTTGAGGCGGCCCACAAGCACCCGACCCGTACAGCCCACCCAGCACCCCTGGCAGCAAGTTCAAAGGAAAGCGCCCACCACTGTCCAGGCGAGCCTAGCAGCACGTTCTCGGGCCGGAGTTCGCGGTCCATGATGATGCCCCATGCCACCCTATGCCCTGTGCCCTGCCTCATGCCACCCTGCCCCGTGCACATGTGCTCTATCCCCGTGCACTCTGTGCCTGCTCACCCCTCGCTTGTCCTGCCCCATGCACCTGCGCCCTCTCTTCTCCGCCCCTCACCTGCTCTGAGCGGCACAGAAAAGCCAAAGTCCGCGACGCGCAGGTCCCACCACTGGCCGGGCGAGCCGAGCAGCACGTTCTCGGGCTTTAAGTCGCGGTGCATGATGCCGCTGACGTGGCAGAAGTGGATGGTCTGCACGAGCACGCGCAGGATGGTGGCGGCCTCGCGCTCCGATATGCACAGCTGCGTGTTGATGTGGTCTAAGAGATCCCCGCCTGAACACATCTCCATCACTATGTGCACGAACTGGTGGGAGGGTGGGGAGGGAGGGGAGGGAGGGAAGAGAGGGGGCGGGAGAAGGAGACGAGAGAAAGGGAGAGGGTTGGGTGACTCTCCGCCCTCTCCAATATGCACACCTGTGTGTCGTTGTGCGTCTAGCAGGTCGCCTCCTCAACACGTCTCCATCGCTATGTGCACGAACTGAAGAGGGTGGGGTAGGAAGGGGTGGATGGGGGGTGGGCGGGGAGGGCAGGGGACACAGGGTGGGCAGGATGGCGGGGAGAACAAGTGAGCAGATGAGGGATGCGAAGTCGGAAAGGGTAGGGAGCATGAGTGAGGGGATGAGGGAGGGGGCAGGGAGGGAGAGGAAGAATGGGGGAGGTGGGAGGTGGACAAACAAACTCACCTTAGCATCTTCCGCGGTGTCTTTAATCTCCACTATGTGCGGATGGCCCTGCAGCTTCCTCATAATCGCCACCTCCGTGCGAACCGCCTCCTCCTTCCTGCCCCCCGTTAGAGTCACCTTGTCTATAGTCTTACACGCGTACTGCCTGCCTGTGCGCCTCTCAACGCACTGGTATACAGTCACACCCTTCCGCCCCTGCCCCACCTTCCGCCCCATCTCATAGCGCCGCGTCACATCAGAATAACCCTGCTGAAACACACCCATGCCAATCCCCATCCCCATCCCCATGCCCCCTCCTGCGCCCCTTCCTGCGCCCCCTGCCCCGCCCGCCACCCCTCCAGCGCCCATGTCAGCAGCACCACCAGCGCTGCTGCTTCCACCCCCCCGCACGCTACTGCTGCTCCCCCCGCCGCTGCCCCCGCCGCCAGCAGCAGCAGCGACAGCAGCAGCAGCAGCGGCGGCAGCAGCAGCTGTGGGGGAGGGGCGGAGGGAGGGGGTAGGGAGCGCGTGATAGGAGGGGTTGGGGGGGGCAGCCATGGCTCTTCTCGCGTGCGCGTCAAACGCGGCTGCTGCTTCCGCTGTCATCAACCCTCCCCCTGCCCCTCCCCCCGCGCCTCCCCCCGCGCCTCCCCCTGCGCCTCCCCCAGGTGGCCCCGCCCTAGGGCTGACGGGGTGGGCGCTCAGGCTGCGGCTGAAAGTGTCCACTGCTGCGCCCAGCGTCCCCCCGCCCCCCCATGACGCTAGCCCCCGCCGCTTGCCGCCCTCCCCCTGCCCTCCGCCTCCTCCTCCCCCTCCTCCTCCGCCTCCGCCTCCCCCTCCGCCTGCCCCTCCCCCACCGCCTGCCCCGCCGCCTCCCCACCCAGAACCAGCAGTGGTGCTTCCGCCCATGCCCCCCTCGCCCGCGCCTTTCCCAGATAGCACCTCCCCGCGGGGCGTTTTGGGGCTCTTATTGGCGCGCCTGGGCGCATCCGCGGGCGCGCGGGGGCTCTTAAGCGCAACGAAGTACTTGGGGCTGCTGCCGTTGTCCCCCATTCCCGCGCCCCCCGCCCTCTCCCCCCCTCCCGCGGGACCAGCAGCAGCGGACGCCCCGCCTCTCCCCCCGCTTGCACCCGCGGCGGAAGAGGCGGAAGCAGCAGTGGGGGTGATTGCGCCTAGATTCAACCCGGCCCCCCCCGCCCGCGGACTTCTGTGCCAGAGCGGAGGCATTGCCATTGCCATATGCCCCCGCCCCCCGTGCCCCTCCCCCGCTCCCCCAGACGCCGCCGTTGGCGCGTCCCCATCCCACCCCGCGCCTCCCCCTCTGCCCCCGCCCGCGCCCCTTTGGCGGAAGACGTTGCTGCTCGGGCCTGGGCCAGCAGCGCGCGCGGAAAGAGGTCCCCCGGCGGGGAGGTGCGAGCGGGCGCGGCCTCTGGGGGTGGTAACCAGTGTGTCTAACTGTAATGGCCGCAGATTCGGCCGCCTACGATTTCCTTTGCTGTCCGTTTCCGCTTGCGTCTGTTGCTGCTGTTGCTGCTGCTGCTGCTGCTGTGGCTGCTGCGGCTGCTGCTGCTGCTGCTGCTGGCCCTGCGGCCGTTGATACTGCTGCCAAATCGATCCCCCCTGTTGACTCTCCTCCGCTGCCGCTGCGCCAACCCTTCCGCCCCCTCCCCCCCGACCCCCACCGCCAGTGGCGCGACTAGTATCCCCGCCCAATGCGTTTCCCTCGCTCTGCCCCCCGCCCGGCCCCTCCCGGATGCGCGCGCGCGGGGAGACGAATCCGCGGAGGCGGTCCATGGGGTCGGGGGGTCTCTCCACGCGCCTGGGGGACGCAAACCCGCGCACGCGCTCGGAAAACGCCCCTTTCCCGCCCGGACCGGGCGCTGACGCTAACGGTACCGTTGACGACGTAAACGTTGACGCTGACGCTAACGGTGCCGCTGGCGCAGCTTTTGGCTTGCTGCGCGCCGAGCTGGGTCCCGCAGCGTCGGGGCTGGGAACGTTTTCTGGCAGCAGCAAAATAGCGTCGTCGTCGTCATCACTATCCTCGTTATCGTTACCGTTTTCGTTATCGTTTTCGTCAGAATGAGAGGCTTTCATCGAGTCCGCGTGGGTTCCGCCCATGCCCGAGTCTAGAGTCGCACTCTTTGGCATTCCCATGCCCGCACCTGTGCCTGTGCCTGTGCCTGTGCCTGTGCCCGCCCCGAAACCTCCCAAACCTGTCCCCGAACCTGCGGCCGCTGCCAAGCCTACCGGGCTGTTTCCGCTGCTTCCAGGCTTACCCGTACGGCCGGCCGTACCGGCCTGTCCGCTTGCCTGCCTGCCAGGCTTGGCACTGCTAACCCTCTGCTGCTGCTGCGCCTGCTGCTGCGCCTGCTGTTGCGCCTGCTGCGTGGGGGAGATGGTAACGTCCGGGGAGTAATCGAGGGGGGATCCGGCGGGGGGAAAGTCGATATACTCATTCGCGGAAGTTCGGCGGTCGATGGGGTTAACCGCCAAGTCACTCCCGGAAAACGACAACGACGGAGGGAGGACTCGCGCGTTCGCGTTATACGCGTCCCCGGCAGCTGCAGCAGCAGCAGCAGCAGCAGCTGAAACATTAGGACTCCCGCCCCTCGCTGCGCGCGCTGGGCTTTTCGTGCCTTGCGCCCTACCCGCGACCGCTCTCCCCCCGCCACCCCCGCCTCCTCCGCCGCTGCCGCCGCTCCCTCCCAACCCGGACTTATTTACAGTGCCCGAACCTACAGGGCTGGTTCGGCGGTCGAAGCTAAGCGCTGAGTCGAGGCCTACAGGGCTGCTGCGGGGGCGTTCCGCGTTCCCCAGGCTCCCTTCCGTCCTTCCCCTCTCCGCGTGCTGCGCGTTCCCCGTGGACCTCCGCTCCAGCCTCACCTCAACCCCTTCCAGCCGCTCCCCACGTTCGGCGGCAGTTCCCGAGCCTGTCCCCGCAGCTCTTCCCGAACCTGGCGGCTCGGCCGGACCCGTTACAGCCACGGCCTCGCTGACGTCAGCGTCGTCATCGCTGAACTCATCCTCACCGTCGGATTCCTCCCCGCCTGGAGCGCCGGGAGCGAGCAGCCGTCCAAGGTCAAGCGCGGCGGGCCGCCGGAAAGATTGCCACCCCGCCGCCGCCGCCAATGGTTGCGCAGCAGACGCGGACGGCCCCGCGGTAGCGGCGGCAGGCGCGGGGCCTAGCGGGGAGGTTGGCTTGGTGGGCGATGTGATTGTAGGCGAGGTGCGTGTAGGGGAAGGAGCTGACGCACTTCCCGCGCAGCTTCTCCCGTGCGCGGCACCCGCTGTTGCGCCGCCTCCGGCGCTTCTACCGAAACTCGAGGACGGCGCTAACGGGGACGGCGCGGGGAGGGCTAGCGGGGAAGACAATAACGAATCGGACGACGCGGGAGAGCTGGAGAGAGGCGAGTGTAACGGCCCGGGCATTCGGAAGGCGCTAGCCCCAGCGGCGCGCGATCTAGCTCTTGCGGAAAGCGGCCCGCTCCGCGTCCGCAACGATACCCTCCCCCGCTCGTCTCCCCCTGCCACCCCCCTCCCCTCCGCGCTCTCGTCCCCGCTTCCGCTCTGGCGCAAACGCCTGTCTCCGCCCCGCTTTCCTTCCCCTGCTCTCCCCGCGCCCCGCTCCGCCGCGCCCGGCTTATCCTCGACCAGGAATTTCAGCAGGCGCGGCGACATCGCGGATAATCCGCCGCCGCGAATGGCGGCTGCCGCCATGGGCGAGATCGCGCTTGGACCTGCGCCAAATGCACCTGCCCCAGATGCGCCTACTCCCGGCGCTCCTGCCGCGGCCGCTCCCGCGTGAGACCTCCCGCCGCCACCTGCCACTCTTCCCTGCGTTGATGGTTTCTGATTGGTCCACGTGGCCTTTGGCGAAACATGCAGACCTCGTGGCGACGGTGGTGCCGCGTCCGCCGCGCCACCACCACCCGCAGCAGCACCACCACCTCCCGCAGAAGCAGCAGCAGGGGCAGGGGCAACGGACGCAGGCGAGTTGATCAGGAGCGCTATGTCCGAGTTATGATCGGTTACGGCGCCGCCTGCCGGGTTAAATATCACGCTGTCGCTGCTCGCGATATCATCCCTCGAAGCGCCGTAAAACACGGAGAGATCTTGCAGGCCTTCCGGTACGGGAGGCCTCTCCGCTGTCGCCTTCGCACCCACCGCGGAACCAGCCCCTCCGCCTCCTCCGCCCACTCTCCCCCTCCTTGCTCCCGCAAACGCGCCTTCTCCGCCCGCGCTTCCCCCTTCCGCGCCTCCGCCAGCCGTTCGCCCCGTCCCGCTTCCCCAAGGTGACGAGCTTCGCTCGGCGTCCACCTGCGAAGAGCTTCGCGCTTGCGAATGCAAGCGGCTGTTACCACCCCGTTCAGGCGAAGCATGCACCGCCGCTGCTGCCGCAGCAGCCATAGAGCCGGTGCGCGACCCCGAACTCGAACTAGAAAGCGAACCCGCGGCGGCAGAAGCGGCACCCCACTCGGAAGCCTTACGCGCGCTACTCCATTCATTGTTCTTCGGCCCGCGTGCCCGCGGCGTCGCGATCGCGGCGAGCGCTTTCGCGTGGACGCGTCGCGCCGCCGCTGCGCCGTCCTCGTCCCACCCGGCGCCGCCGTCGTTCGCCGCCTCGTCCTCCATAAGAGCCGCCTCGTCAACGGCATGATCCAGAACCATCGACGTCGCGGAGCGGCCCTTGCGCATCGCGCGCGGCGCTCGTCCCGGGCGGGGACTGAGCATGCCCGACAATAAGCTGCTGCTGTGTCCCGCGGGAGTGTGAGAATGAGAGTGAGATTGAGAGAAAGCGCGAGCGTGGGCGTGGGCTTGCCGAGGGGAGAGCGATCTCCGGCTCTGCGGAGACGACGAGTCTTCCAAGTTCTCAGGAATGCGCAAGGAAAAGGTCTTGGCGAGGCTACGGCCAGTACCGGAGCGGCTACTAACGGGTTTCTGACCGGAAGGGGAATCGCTTCGAGGCGGCGAGTATAGATCGCGACGGTCCTTTGCTCCGAAGGATCGGCTTCCGACCCGCGGCTTAGAGTCCGCGCGGGAACTACGGATAGCCCCAGTACTGAAAGGAACATCGTCATCGTCAGGTAGCGGAACAAACGTGTCTTCTATAAAGTTAGACCCGGAGACCTGGTAACGCGGCTCGAATCGAGTGTCTTGAAAGGAAAAATGAGACGACCCGGCGGAAGAGCCGGGATCCTGCGGTCTCCACGCTGCTTCGAAGGTCGCCATATTCTCCGGCGGTTTAGGCAGATTAGACTCTGCCTGCTTCATAAGGCCTACCGCATCGGCCAGTGAGACTACTCCTAAAAGTTAGAACGCATTCCAAAGAAGTCAATAAAGACCAATTTCAGAAAAGCAATAATTTTATGAAATTCCTATAGTAGGTGAAGAACGTTCTTCAGGCCAGAAATCCGTCCTTGTGCTTACACTATTTGATTCACCTCGGCAGGTCCTGTGGGGATGGGATTGCAGCCAGTGTCGTCGTCGAATGGAAACCCTAGACGACGATGCACAGTGAGGAATCAGAAATCAATGCATTCACTGTTGTGCCTTGGTTTGCAGCGTGTGGTCTGGTTGGTTTTACTTCGTTGCAGGGGTTTTCAAGCTGGTTGTGCTGGTTTGGGAGCTCCCAAGGCTATTTAGCGGTGTTTGCGCAAGGACCTATCGCAATCTCGTTGCGCAAGTGACCGTCAGAGGGGAGAGAATGGACAGCACAGCGGTACAACTTGAAGTCAACACGGTACTGCGGTTTATTGCACTGTATTGTAATTGGCGCAGCGTCCCCGCAAGAATCACAGGTGACACTGAAATGCACGCTTGCGGGTCGTTCCGAAATCGGGAAGGGCTTGTTCGGAAGGAATAATGCAACACATCCCAAGCCGCAAACCGTGTTTCTTTGTAGCAGTATGGGACACGATGAAGAACTAACAAACTTAGGATGGATGGCTTAGTAGCTACTGAACGTATTGCAAGTACTTGTCGCGCTCTTACGAAGCTTGATTTCAATGGCTCGAGGTGGAATGTAAATGTAACCGGAACTTCTACTTTACGGGGCGCAATCTGGGTCTTTGTGTTGGGGTCTGGTGCTCATCGGAATGATCGTCGTTGTCATTGTACAAAACCCATGTGATCCAGGCTGATCTCGCTACTGTACGGTTTCTGTACCATACCGCGTTTCTAAAAGCCACCTGAAAATCACAAAGCGATCCCAGGGCCTAGGAAAGTGCAGGAAAATCACAAATCTTTCAAACATTATTTTTTACAATACACCCTCATTCTCGGTCTGTGCACAATCCCCACATGAACGTGCCAGCTGTAATGACATCAATGCGTCCAACATGGTCCAAGAACATACGCTGTAAGCACATTTGCCGTACTTAACCGTACACAAAAGCAAATATAATTTTACATACCGTTGTTTACCGTTCTCTATGGGGTGCATTTGCCCGCCACTACCTAGAGTTCGGCTCCAAGCACCAGATCGCTAGGGTCCAAGCAACAGTACGCACTGTAGCCAGGGCTCCCAATTGTGGGTAGACCGAGAATGAGGGTGTACTGTACCCTGCAGAAGCCCTCCGGCCTTGCACCAAACCATCAGCCTCCCCGAAGCGAAGCTCTAGTCTGGGATTACCGTACCACTTTCCCGACCACACCTAAGCTTGTCGAAACAACCACATACCCTCGTACGCCTTGGCGCCTTCAGGCATTTCTGTCGACTCGCACACCCCGCAACTGCTTCGGACTTCTTCCGCTCGCGGGGGTCTGAGTCCGTCCGTCCGTACCGTACGCGCGATGGGGGATTGATTGGGGTCCAGCGCTCGGTAGCGGAGTGGACAAGCCTAGGCCCGAACCTGAACGCGTTTTCCGAGGCTCGGCAGGCTCGGGCTGCAAGACAAGTTGGTCTGTGCAGCCCATCGCTCAGCCACTAGAGACAAGGACAGCAGGTTGGCTCGGGCGCAAGGAAGGAAACTTGACTGGCGGGCACTGTTCACCCTACCGAACCCATGCAATCGTCGTTTGAAGACTTGACTTGGTGTAGGCACGGTGGATGGCCTCCGGTGTCCTTTCCACCATGAATGGATAGACCTGCAGGTACAGTCTTATACACCTATCCTGCGATAATTCCACACCCCCTATCTTCACGCCCTGGGGTACCTACCCTCGAAAAAGTCTCATTTCGAAGGTAGTTAGAAACGATCGCGGGAGTTTCGAGAGTAATAAGGCACGACCTCAATGAGAGTTTAACACTAGTTTTAAGGCGCTGAGAATTTTGCCCGCTCACTCTGATTACAAATTTGAGTTTCGAATAGCCAGAACGCTGACGGTTCTTTACTGATAGACCCGTAGTGTCAGGGTGTCCGTCTCATCGATCCTCAAGCCGTATAGGGTGTCTGGCAAAAACGAGGGTAGGGGGTGTGGAAATACCGGAGAACAGGTGTAGCGGGGGCGACAGGCTTCTTTGTCCTTCATGGTGTGATTGTATCTCAGAGTCTTTTACAAAAGCATCATCCACAGAGTGTACTGAAACGCAGCCAATTAAACCACAATTTTACACAATAATCCACACATTGAACATGCTTCATCCTTGGTGGGCGTTCACAAATGCACGTACAACCTTCATTCCCAAACGACCTTAGGAACCGCCCAGTCACATCCGCTCTCAATGGCAAGGTTGTTGGTGCCTCGCACGATGCGGAACCAACCATTCTCCCCCCTGCACACAAGTACAGCAATTCGTCAGCTTGTTGCATATAGCATTGCAGCACGTGAGCATGCATGCAACTTTGCGATACATACCCCATGATTGCCGCTCATACTCAGTGGCCCCAGCACTGACCATGAAATCCTGGCCACTAACCAACATCGCCAAACTCGATCCCAACTCGCACTCTCGCTCCCCCCCTCCCATTCTCCCGTTCTCAAGGGTGGTGCGCGATCCCCGCAGTCATAACATGATCCACATTAAGGAAGCCTATCCCAACTCGCACTCTCGCTCCCCCCCTCCCATTCTCCCGTTCTCAAGGGTGGTGCGCGATCCCCGCAGTCATAACATGATCCACATTAAGGAAGCCTATCCCAACTCGCACTCTCGCTCCCCCCCTCCCATTCTCCCGTTCTCAAGGGTGGTGCGCGATCCCCGCAGTCATAACATGATCCACATTAAGGAAGCCTATCCCAACTCGCACTCTCGCTCCCCCCCTCGCCCTCACCAGTATGTGCCCCATGAGTTGCGGGCGATCCAGTATTTAACCCCCTCAGGGGAGGTGCCCCAACCGCCCACAGTGATCACATGGTCCACGTCTAGGAAGCCCGTGGTGTCGTTGTAAATGCCACCCCTGGGGGGATCAAGGTGAAAACGACAAGGGGGGAAAGATGGCATTAGCAGTGGGCAAGAAAAAGAGGTAGCAGTTGTGCCAGTGCCCCACCCCCCACAGTGATCACATGGTCCACAGCAAGGAAGCCCGTGGTGTCGTTGTAAATGCCGCCCCTGTGGAGGGGACAGAGTGGGCTTGAGAAAGTGGGCAGAAGAGGATAGTTTCATGCCCCCACATTGAAGTAAGCTGTGGTGTGGGCACAGATGCGGCCCTTAAGGATCTGGGCGTGAGCCTGGGAATGATGCAGGCAAGGGAGGGTGGCAGCAGAATGCAATGATGCAATGCCGCACTTGGTACCTCTTGCATGCACAGTGCTCACTCACTCGCCTCGCACTCCATGCTCACTGTTACCCCATGCTCACATCCACCAGCTATAGTTTGGTACTAAGTGATAGTCATTTTTCCTGCTATGCCACATGCAATCTGGTGTGTTTTGAGTCCACTCAAAACACAGCTTCGCACACTCTCTTGTAACCTCTCTTCTCCTCTTCCTCCACACACTCACTTGTAGTTCTTGTAAAAGTCGTCGTTCACAGCTATGCCGCACGCAATGGGGCCGCGCGCCGCAATCTGTGGTGAGTGGCACGCAGGACGCAGCGTGCCGGACGAGGGGGCGAGGGATGAGCAGGGGAATGGGGGGTGAGGCGAGCAGGGCGAGGGGTGAGAAGCATGGCACAGGCGGGCCAAGGAGGGAATGGTGGGAGTGTGAGGGGATGGAAGGGAGTGAGAAGAGGAAAGCGAATAGATGATGCATGCAAGGAGACACTTTATCCCCACCTCCCTTGCACATCACCACTTTCTCCCCTCTCCACCCTCTTTCCACCCTCTCTCCACCCTCTCAACCCCCATGTCACTCCCCTGTCATCCCCCCTGTCACCCCCACTGTCACCCCCCGTGTCACCCCCCACCCCCTCTCAACCCCTCTCACGCCCTCTCACCCCCTCGCACCCCCCTCACCTCGGCCATCATGTCTGCTTCGCCCTGCACTGTGCCATGCTCCTCCACATACACCCGTGGGTACTTCTGATGGTGGTAAGGGGATGGGAAGGGGGGACATGCATGGGGGGGCATGCATGAGCGACTGTGCCATGCTCCTCCACATACACCCGTGGGTACTTCTGCATGGCGTGCGTGCATGGTAAAGGGGGAAGGAGTCACGGCAGAGGTAAGGGAGAGGTCAGGGAGAGGGGTAAGGGAACAGACACGAGTGACTGTGCCGTGCTCCTCCACATACACCCGCGGGTACTTCTGCATGGCGGTAAGTGGAGGGATGGGGAGACAAGCATGGGGCATGCATGGGCAGCACGAGTTGAACATACCCCTGTGGGTAGCTCCGCATGGTATGGCGTGGTTGGTCATCGGATGATCCGTGAGATATTCATGGGAGGGGGGCGCAGGGAGAATGAGCTAAGTGTATAGCACAGCACGGCAGAAAAAGAAAAAGAAAAAGAGAAAAGACAAAAGGGACACACACACAGACACACACAGACACACAGACACACACACACACACACACGCACGCACGCACGCACGCACACACACACACACACACACACACACACACACACACACACACACACACACACACACACACACACACACACATACACCCACCCACCCACCCACCCACCCACCCACCCACCCACCCACCCACCCACCCACCCACCCCCACACACACGCATCAATGACAGGGCATGTGGTTCTGTTTTTTGTTAATTTCTCAAAAAACAGTCGCAGCATGGCAAAGAAAAAAACCACACATCAATGACAAGGCGTGTGCTTCTGCACCTTGATGGCATGGCATGCTCCGTCAGGCGAGCAGTCGAAGCATGTGTTGATGCGTGAACACTCTTTGTTGCGTGCCTGCCAGTGCGGCAGCCAATGGGAAGGCAGGAAATCGAGAGCTCATGGGATGTGAGGGCAGCGAATGCGACGGCAGGGAATGGGAGGATAGGCGACCGGGGGGGAGAGCAGGCAAGGGATGTGGGGGCAGTGGATGCGGCGGCAGGGAATGGGCGGATAGGTGAGGGCAGGAGAGCAAGCTGTAACGCGAAGGCATAGCACGTGCATCGTCACAGCACAAGGGAGCATGGCATGTCCGCGCAGTGATGGTTGCTGGAAAAACAGTTCTTTTCTTACTAGAATCACATCTCTCACCTCGTAATTGGCACAGCTCTCATCTGGAATGCCATTCTCCATTGCCTGTATCCATATCAGGTGACATGCGCAGTGCGCACACGCATGCATACAACACATGCACGCATTTGCAATCATTCACACACATTCACACAGATGCACATACAGACATACACGTGAATACGCGCACGCACGCACGCACACACACACACACACACACACACACACACACACACACACACACACACACACACACACACACACACACACACACACACACACACACACACACACACACACACACATGGGTAGAAACTTTCAGACGAAATGAATGACATAGAGGAGAGAAGAGAAAAGATCTGACGTGAGAAATCATGTGAATTTCCCAGCTATGTTGAAAGCACTTCCGAAATACCTCAGAAGCTTTTTGTAACAGAGAATAAGGAAGGGTTGAAGGGACGTACCCAGGCGTAGACTGCCGTGGGGTCGCCTCCATAGCAGCCGTTGCTGCCACCGCCCGTGACACAGTTTACGATAACCTGATGGCAGCAGGAGGAGAGGAGAGGGGAGGAGAGGAGGGCAGTGGCGTAGGGAGAGAGAGGAGAGGCGTGGGAAGGGGAGAAGCGCTGAAGTAGTGGAAGGGGAAGGCGTAGACTGCCGTGGGATCTGCTCCATAGCAGCCGTTGCTGCCACCACTCGTGACACACAGTTGACCATAACCTGAGAGCAGCACGAGGAGAGGAGCAGGCAGGCAGACAGGTAGACGAGAGCTGTGGGGGGGGAGTGCTGAAGCAAGAAGTGTCTGGGGAGGGGGAGAGGAGAGAGGTGTCTGGCGAGGCAAGGGGGAGACGTGTGCAAATGCGCACTTGAAGTGAGAGGTTAGCGTGGAGACGCGCCCTCAGCAGGCTCACTCTGTCGCATTTGCATCTACTCAAATCAAACGCGCACCTGGAGCGCCAGGTTAATCTGAGGGAAGCGCTGGTCTAGCAGGATGTGCTGGCTGCGTTTGAGTTGTCCCCTACGCACCTGGGGCGCGAGGTTGATCTGAGGGAAGGCGTTGTCACGCAGGAGGGCGACTCTATCGCTGAGAGCAGCCGTGGTGCCGAAGGCCCAGCAGTGGCCGCAGTAACGCGGGATGTGCTGATTCTATTTACGTTGTCCCTTACGCACCTGGGGTGCGAGGTTGATCTGGGGAAAAGCGTTGTTGCGCATGAGGGCGACTCTATCACTGAGGGCCGCCGTGGTGCCGAAGGCCCAGCAGGAACCGCAGTAGCGCGGGATGTGCTGATTGCGCTCCACCACCGTGTAGCTGCGCCCACTCATGTTGCGAATGTCGTAGGACGCTGGGATGTCCTCTGGACGCATGTAATGTTGTGGCAAGGGTGACTTGACTGTCACGGGCTGGGGTGGGGTGCAGTGGAGTGGGGTGGGGTGGGTTGGGTTTGAGAGAAGGAAACATAAGGTGATGTGCTGATTGTGCTCGATCACGGTGTAACTGCGCCCACTCCTGCGCAAAAGGTTGGACCTTTTGATGCAACCCACCGCAAAAAAAACGGAATAAAAAACAACGCAGCAATGATGGCGTACAATGGGGGTGGGGCTTCTCTTGAGGCAGGCGCAATCCTTGAGCCGCCCAAAATGGTTCAAGTGGTGCTGCCCCTCTGACGCCGCCGCAGCTTCTTCCGCTGCTGCTGCTGCTGCTGCTGGCTCCCCATGCTCCATCTCCCCTCCCCTCCCCCCAACAACCTGCTGAATCAGCAGCCCTTCCGTCCCAGCACCCGTAGCAGCCAAAGCTTTGGAAGAATCCGAGCCAGAACCGGAGGCACGGCCCAAGGCGGGCTCAGAGGCTCGGGGCAGCGGGTCAAGGGGCTGGGGGATGGCGCCAGAAGGGAGAGGGTTGGCGTCAGGGTCGGCCCAGGAGCAGGTGAGCTCGATGCCTAGGTTGCGGTGGTGCATGCGAATGCGAAACAGTCCCTGCTCGCCCCTGTGTGTGGGGACGGGCAGCGCAGGGATGAAGAGAAGAGAGAGCAGTGCCTGAGCTGCCAGTGCAGGTGCAACCAAGGCACGGCGTGTCCACAAAAAGGGAATCAGACCGTACTCACCAGCCTCACAGAGATCTGTCCTGAAGAAAATCGTACGCACCATGCCATGCCCCAGGAGTTGCGGCCGATCCAGTACTCCTGCCCCGAGGCCTCGTCCACGCCCCACCCTACAAGGGACACCTCGTGATTGGGCAGCGGCAGCGGCACAAACTGGTGGAAAATGCCGCCCGTGTACGCCTCAAACTGGTCGGTCACATCCATGCCGCACGAGATGGGACCGCGCTTGAAGATCTCCGCTGCACACAGGAAAGGGCAGGCCGGGGTACGCAAGCAGGGGCAAGGAGGCAGGGGCAAGCAGTGATTTTGCGATGCCTCAAACTGGTCTGTGACGTCCATGCCGCACGAGATGGGACCGCCCTTGAAGATCTCCGCTGCAGACGGTGTGGGGGAAAGAGGTAGGTAGAGAGGTAAGCAGGCAGGCAGGGGCAAGCAGGCAAGCACTTTCCAGTCAACTCGAATCGGACGGTCACGTCCATGCCGCACAAGATGGGGCCTCGCTTGAACATTTCTGCTGCAGGTCGGGTAAAGCAGGCAGGGACAAGCGGGAAGTGGCACGAATGAGGGGCGTCTAGTATAAGACAGAGGGACAAGCACATCAGGGAACAAATATGGCACGAGACTATCACGGTTCAAGGTATTCAACCCTTGTTATACACGCGAGCACACATGCAGGATGAGTGGAAAGCAGTCAGAACGACTCGAAGCCAGAGTGAGTTCAGACGAGAATGGGTTTGAGCCACCATAGAATGAAGACTGTGATACTTGTGATAGCTGTGATACCCTTGAGTTCTCACAGCTGCTGCCCACACCTTTGACTCTTGACTCAGAAAGCACCTCAAAGAGTCGCACAGCTGGTGCTCTCACCTTTGAGCTTGTCGGCTCTCGACATGCGGTTACCAACAGCATCCTCGTCCGAGCCTGCAGGCAGAAAACAGAAATGGAGAAAAATCAAACATATGAGGATCCTAAAAGAAAAGAAGAGAGACAAACAGGAGCGGAAGACGATAGGCAGACGAATTTCAACTGGGGAATAGTCCGACCCACGCCATTTGCAGAGAAGTAGGATATCGAGGTAACATGCGCTTGTAAAATATGCGAAGTGTAGCCAGAAGAGTGCTTGTAACAAACCTGAGAGAACGGAGCCATACTGCTTGACTCGCCAGAGGGTGAAGTTGGCGACAGGGAAGCACGTGCCAGGGGTGAAGGGCTCGGGATCCACTCCAGGCACGCAGTCCTCACACACCCTGCGCGCAGCAGAGCGAGCAGCAGCAGCATGGATGCATGGTGGCAAGAAGCGATGAAGGTCATTGACAGGGAAGCATGTGCGACACAAAAAGGGCTCCGGGTCCACTCAGGTTCTAAACACATGCTGAGAAGGTCAGACTTTCACCCTGGAACATCCACCCTAGTTCTGACAGCTACAATATAAGACAACACTCTCTTTCCTAGAGGCTCCACACTCACCCCAGCGGGCGGCACTCCTGGTCCTCCGCCTCGTAGTTCTGGCAGCTCTCGTGCGGCAGGCCCCGCTGCGCCATGTACTGCAGCGCCCTGAATGGATCGCCGCCGTCGCACGACCCGCCGCCCTTGCAGTTCAGCAGCACCTGCGAGGACCGATCGGATTGGATCGGATGGAATCAAATCGTTTAGTATTCGATCGAGAAGAGTAGTCGCTTGGATGACTTTTGAGGCGCCTCAAAAGTTTAGTCGCCTGGACAAAGCCAGACAACGAGGATTGCTCGCACAGCGCAGGTGATAAAGCGACAATCGGGAGTGAGGCGCGTTAGTTAAGCGGCTTCAAATGAGGTCGTGAACGCAAAACGCGAGACGATACCTGGGGGGAGAGCACGATGTCCGGCCATGCAGCGTTGCGCTTGATCTTGATGCGGTCCGACACTGCTGACGTGGTCGCGAAGGCCCAGCACGAGCCGCTGTTGACAATCATGGACATTGTCAGGCGTTGACATGAAGACTTAGTGGCATGGACGAAGAAATACTTATTTCAAAAAGAATCTATGTCATGATGAGCGAGTTTTGTTAGCAGGTATACGCTTATCCTCAGAATAGCGAGAGGTTGCACTTTCACAGTCACCGCTATCGTACCAGTATTGCGGGATGTGTTGGTTCCTGCTCTCCGTAAGATAGTTCACTCCGCTAACATTTCCCCAGAAGAAGTTTCTTGGAAGATCCGACTTCTTCAGAGTCTCGTGCGATCGCGGCTCCGTGACGAGCTCTCCGCCAATGAATCCTCTGGCGTTCGGGTCGCGGCAAGGAGTGTGGGACTTGGATAGAAGCGTGCGACCTGACGCCATGGCCAGAGCAGCCATGGATGCGAGAAGGATCGCGAGAGTGACGGAATGCTGAGCCTTCGCCATGACGAAAATCGTTGCGCGAAGGAGTTTAAACGGGAAGCTACTAATCGGAAAGCTATTTCATGAAGACCCAGCACTGGATTCTCGTAGTTCTCTAGCAGCAAAAAGCTGCTCTGGCTGTCCGTTCAGGCTGCAAGTTCAGTTAGGCTGCAAGGAACTAGAGACCACCACAGCCAGCAAAACTGAAATCGCAGGACTCAGAAAAATGCTGGAGGGATATGCTCGAGGGAGGGGGCGCGGAATAGTGGCAGGGCAGCAGTTGAGGTTCGGGGTCGACTATTTTAACCAATAAGGGATTTCCAGGCAAGCTCGGTGTGGTAATGAAATAGGTTGGGTTTCCCAAAGCTGCCTGAAGTTCTCCAGGTGGTGATGTATTGCCACGTCATAAAGGAGCTGATTGCGGCTGCAAACCTAGACTGCGTGCGAAACGCGAACCACGCGGCGTGGAAACACTGGCTGTTGCCCTTGAGGCTAGCGCCAGTTCGAGCCTGGTTTGGGCACCTGAAGCTTGGCGCGGTAGTGAGGTTCGGGAGAAACCTTCGAGGCCGATATGGGGAGAAGCGACAACACCTCTCGGTCGATGTCTCTGGTCGCCGAGAGGTTTGGTTCGGCGATACAGTTGCCTTCGCGCAGCCTGGCCTGGTGTGGAGAGCACAGGCAAGGCAAACCTTGGAATTTGGGGCGCAGGCGGTCCAGCCCGAGGAGAAGCACGAAGTTAGGCGCGCGGGAGGCGCAGGGGAAATGCGCGCAATACGGCTGCGCGGACACAAGTACAGTGCGATTTGAGGAGACGGGGCGTTACAGAGTTACAGCTCAATATACAAGCCCAAGTTTGTTTTGGTACCAAACTGAACCAGCGGAACACAGTTTACACCCTTTTAAACCGCATTCCACATCTTTCCCGCTGTGTCAAAAGATGGAACGGTACCAGACCAGTACAGCACAGCTAGTTTTCCAGGTAGGTCAATGGCTGCCGTTACTGGCTGTTTAGGTCACCACAGCAGCTCGAATGTGTGGCCTCGGATAGTGAGGAAATGCAGGATAGCCTTCATTGCAAGTGAGGAAGAGAACGAGTTTGAGCCTGAGCACCCTAATCTTGCGGTCTTCATTTTCTCTGAGCAACGTTCAGCCTAAGCTCTTATTTGCCTGCAGTCGAACAATGGACGGCGAGAGGGGCACCGAGCACGGGCCCTCTCATGCCGTATCCTCGCCCAGACGTCAACCCCAGCCGTCCAGTTCGTCCTCAAATCGACGGCTATCGCACCACTGTTCTCTTTCCAATCGTCAGATGGATCGTATGGATTCTCCCAGCGGTTTATCCAATCACGGCTCGCCGCGTTCGTCGCTCTCACCTTCGCCGCTCGCGCGGCCTGGCACGCGGGGCGCCACCGCCGCGAATGCCGGCCGCCCTGTGGCGCACACCAGATCGGGGGAGTCTCCGCGCGCGCCGCCCGCGGTGCAGTCGCTGTGCAAGGAGGGCCTCCACGAGGGGTGGCACCGCCGCTCCGCGTCGCTCGGCAGCTCGCGCCTCGAGATTGCCGACGACGACTTGGAGGACTTTCAAGAGGAGACCGACACCGCGCACGACGATCATCGCGCGGACCGCGATCACCGCGCGCACAGGGACCACCGCGCGGACAGCGAACAGCGCGCGGATCGATGGCGACCGCCGAAGCAAGCCGCGCCCAGGTCATCGCGCGCCTCTCCGCTTTCCGCCTCCCCGCTCTCCGCGTCGCCGCTATCTCTTTCCCCCCTCTCCATCCGCCATTCGGACGCGGGCGGTATGGGCTCACCGCGCGCATTGGGCTCCCCGCGCGCTGTGGGTTCCCCGCGCGCCGTGGGCTCTCCGCGCGCGGTGGGCTCTCCCCGGTCCGTTGGCTCTCCGCGATCCGTGGGCTCCCCGCGGTCCGCGCGGCTACGAGGCGCTGAAAAGGCTTGGGATGCCGTGTCGCGGCAGGACTCGGTCCGCAGCACCGGCAGCCTTAAGGGCGACCGAGCCTCGCCCTCAGGCTCGGACTTTGGCGTGTCAGGTCCGCGCCGCGTCAACAGCATCGGCGGCGGGGGAACTGTAGCGCGCGTGCGCAGCGGCGGAGGAGGCGCAGGCCATGAGGGGCCGGGGAACAAAGCTCATTCCCCCCCTACCGGGTTTCCCCCGCGGCCCCGCGGGATCATGGTGAAATCGTCTAGCCTATCAGTAAGCTCGCTTGATCAGCCGTATCGACGGTCCGTGTCGTTCGATCTCAAAGAAGACGACGACGAGCCCGCGGGCTGCGTCCGAAGCGCGTCGAACCCCGCGCTGCTGCACGTGAGGGGCGGAAGCGGCGCAGACGCGGGAAGGGCGGGGGGAAAGGCGGGGATTGCGGGACGCGCCGAGGATGAGGTGGGGGATGATAGCTCCAGTATAGACAGTCTCGATTGGGAAGGGGAGGAGGACGTTGGGGGAGGGGAGCAGGAGCAGGAGAAGCGCGGGCGGCTCTCTCACGCGGGGTTGACTCCGCGGGACTCCTCCGCGCAACATTCCGTTCCGCGCAACCGCTTTCCGCAACACTTCGGCGCGCCCCGCGCTGCTGGTTCCAGCCGCGGGGGTCCCGACGGCGCGACCGCGCCAGGCGGTGCGCGCGGCGCGCACCGTCGGTCGCTTTCTTCCCCCGCGCACGACCTTGCGCCGCTCCCCCTCAGCTCCGCGTCGGGGGAAGCGGTGGTGGCGGGAACAGTGCTGGCTCCACGTAGGCAAGCTAGGGAATTAGATTACAATGACGAGAGTGACAATAGCGAGGGTGACGGCGAGGGGGAGAGGGGCCAGGGGCAGAAGGTTGGCGCGCGGGGCAGGTCTGCTGGGACGGGCGGAGCCAGTTCCGCTCAGATCAGCGCAGGGGGAAAGGGCAGGGCGATGGGGGGTGAAGGGCGGGGGGACAGGGGAGGGCGAGTGGGGGCAACGGGCGCGGGCAGGGGAGGGGGAAGGGGAGGGGGAAGAGGGACGACCAGTGGCCCCTTGTCCCACGATGGGCGAGGGCAGGAGCAACAGGTCAGGCAAGCCGTGAGAGGCGGGGAAAGGCGAGGCGGAGGGGGGGTTGGCGGAGAATCGGGAGGGGGGGACGTTGTGGCTGTTGGGGGGAGTGGGGGGGCGATGGGACAGCCGTTTGTGATGCAGTTCAAGGTCTCTGGGGTGCTGAGTGGAGAGGAGGACGAGGAGGAAGATGAGGGAGAGGACTTGAGTGATTTTGAGAATGAAAGGGGAGGAGAGAGGGGAGTGGAAATAAGGAATGCGGCGGAAAGAGGAGCAGGCGCGCGGGCACGGGGAGGAGCGCCTGTGAAGGCAGCAGTGGGGTTGGGGGGGACGGGGGGGGCGGGGAGAGGCAGTGCGGGGAGTGCAGCGCGCGCAGAGGGGTGGCGCGCGCGGGAGGAGCGGGCGCGGGTGCTGGCGAGTGACAGTGAAGACGCCAGTGACGAGGAGGAAGCGGGACGAGGGGGGAGAGAGAGGGGGAGTGTGAGGGAGAGTGAGAGGAGGGGTAGCGAAGGCATGAGCTTGGATAGGAACGATGGGCGGGGCAATGCTATTGTTGCTCGCAGTGCTTCTGGTGCTGGCGGTGCTTCTGGTGCTGGCAGTGCTGCGAGTGCTGGTGGTGCTGGTGGGTTTTGCAGTGATCTGAGTGACAGCGAGGCGGAGGAGGAGGAGGAGCTGCGACAGCTGGCAAGGGAACGGCAGCGGCTGCTGCAGGCGAAGCTCGGGCAGCAGAAACCCACGGCTTTGCACGAGAACGGGCTGCCCGAGAAAAAGGTTGGGGCTGTAAGCAGCCAGGGGGTAGCTGGCAGGGGCAGCAACGGGGAGGGGGCATTGAGCGAGGGGAGAAGCGGCGCGAAAGTGACAAGTGTGGCAGGGGGGAGGGGAGCAGAGGAGGATGACGATGGGTTGGAGCGGGAGTGGGAGTGGGAGTGGTCTCGTGTGCGGCAGAACCAGCGAGTCTCGGAGCTCAGGGCTGCACCGCAGGGGTTCCTCTTTAAGAGTGCTTCTGTTGGTGGCGCTGCTGCTGTGGTCAGCAGACCAGCTAAAGGTGCAGCAGAAGCAGAGGAGGATGAGGAGGGGGAGGAGGAGGAGGATGAGGAGGAGTGGGGGGAGAGTCCTGAGCATGCGTCCAGGGCGCATTCGCTGCCGCGTGTGGGTGGGTCGGCGGATCCACGGCTTCTTGGATTCGTGAAGTCGCAGTCTTTGTCCACTAGTGGCCGCCCGACGACCGCTGACTCAGCAGCGGTTACCAGACGAAGCCGGTACCTGAGGGGAGCAGCAGAGGGGCAGCAGCAGCAGCAACAACAACAACAGAGGCCCCCACCTTGGAGGCAACCCCATGGGATGAGCAGGGAGCGGGATGTTGGGGAGGGGCAGGGGCGGGCAGTGGGACGAGACGCGGGGAGGGACAGGGGGAGGGAGGTTGGGAGGGAGGGAGATGCAGGAGCAGCAGTGCGACAGGGAGCAACAGCAGCAGGGGGCAGGAGGGCAGTGGGAGGGGAAGGATTAGCAGCAGGCGAGGGTGGGGGGAAACTGGGGGCTGTTAGGTCTCGTGCAGTGCAGCAACTGCGGATAGAGGGAGGGGGGGAAGGGGTCAGGGACGGGGGAGGGGGAGGGGGGGGCGGAAGGGGGAGGCACAGGAGAACGAGCTCTGACCCACAGATAGGGGCAGCGGTGCTGGCACGGAGAGGACAGGGTGTGGGGAGGAGTGGGCTGGCTGGGAGCCGAGCCGGGGAGAGGGCAGGGGAGAGAGGCGAGCTTAGGAGAGAGAGTGGAGTGCAAGAGAGAACGAGGTGCTCTGAAGGGGTGGATAGGGGTGGAGAGCGGCGAGGTGAGGACGGAAGAGCGAGATGGGAGGGATTGGCGGCAATGGAAGCAGGGGGGTGTGAGTTGAAGGGAGAGGAGATGTTTGCACAGGAGCCTGCTTTGGAGAGAGAGCTTACATTCAGGCTCGGATAAGTATTACGGCTCTTAATGGTGCATTCCTTGGCGTGTTGAAGCGCTTACCATTTTTCCGGCTTTGTCACTGTCTTGCTGTTGACTGACTTTATAGAGTGCAGTAGTAGTTCAAGGTGAAGGAATCCATAGGACTGAGTCTAGGTTGTGAAGTTATCACAGCAGAAACTCATACCATGCTCCAATTTTAGCAGCAATATCGATCCCGTACATGTTCGAAGTATAGAACTGTCCGAGGCTTTTGGGCAATGATGATTACAAGATCTTGCCGCTCAATGATGATGATGATGATGATGATGTTGTCCACTGGGAGTAGCATTGTTGATAACTCCTCTACAAACATGTGAGATGCTAGCTAAAAGGCACCTAGCAGTAGTACCGGCATTGAGCTATGGGTCTATTGTTTTATTTGTGAAGAACAAAGAATTAAGTTAGGAGCATATATGGGTGATAGGATTTTCCATTATGATGAAATACTGTACTTGGCAGTGTTATGAGTTGTAAAGAGAGTGCACAGGTAAACGAATAACGAGGCTGTGACTGAATGAACTGAGAATACAATGAATGCACAGACTAATGTAGGGCTAGCCTAGCTAGGAGGAAACCTCGGGCGAGCGAGGTTGGGTGCAGGTTTGGCGATGGAAATGCCGAAGGCGACGCGAGGAGCCTCGGCAGCGTTGAAATCGGCCGAACGTGCGAACTCCGAAAATCGGGTTGTACGCGAAGCAGTCAACCCCGATAAGGAATTCGAGAAAATTCCTTACACCACCCCCCCGCCCCCCCTTACGCCTTGCGAATTGCGTCTGCGGCTTTTTCGCGGATGGTCTGAAGTTCCGTTACAAAACTTTGTGATCTCGGGACCGGGTTGTCAAGCGAAGTCGCTGTGGGAACCGTCGGATCCATCCCGTAATTTAGGAAAAACGGGGAGTGATTAGTCGTGCTTGACGGTGCGTTGTTGAAGGCGAACTCCAACATGGCGAGGGAATCTTCCCATCGTGCGGGGTCGGGGCAGTTTGTCCGTATCAGCTGCTCCATGGTTTGGTTGGTTCGCTCGGTCTATCCGTCCGTCTGTGGGTGGTATGCCGATGAGAACTGTAGCTTCGTGCCGTACTGCGCCCACGTCTCCTTCCAGAATTTTGACGTAGACTTCGGGTCTCGGTCGCTGATGATCGCCGAAGGGATGCCGTGCAGTCGCACGACCGTTGAGATGAAAAGGTTCGCAGTTTCTTCGGCTGTGATTTTCGTTCGGCATGGTGCGAAGTGTGCCATTTTCGTGAAGCGATCGACGACGACGAGAACAGCGTCGTTGCCGGACGGCCCAGCTGGCATCCCCGTGACGAAATCCATCGTCACTTGCTGCCACGGTCGTTCGGGTGGCTCGAGGGGTTGCAGCAGCCCAGCTGGTCGCTGACGTGTCGATTTCATTGCTTGGCACACCCTGCATGAGGACACATAGCGCTGCACGTCGTTAGAAGAATCCGGCCAGTAATATTGACGGTGCAGTAATTTCTGGGTTTTATCAACCCCGAAGTGTCTGGAGAAATTCGAGTCGTGGACCTCCTGGATGAGAAGCTCACGCAGCAGCCGGTAAGCGGGAACCCAAATCCGGTCGGTTCCGGCTTTTAGGTAATAGTCCCCTTTCTGCGTCGTGGCCTGCTGGTGATTCCCGGTCGTGAAGAATGGGTCCGTAGTGTAGCCGTGGGTGAATAGTCCCGTAAGTAGCGGGTTCGAATGGGTGATGAATACTGCAGCGGATTGAACAGTCGGTCTGGTCAGGACGTTGGCGATGTTATTCGCCCCTTTCTTGTACGTGATGCGGTAGGTGAAATGGCTCTCCATGTAGTCCAGCCACCGAATTTGTCGCGGGTTGAGGTTGGGCTGGGCTCGTAGGGACTTGTGGTTCGTGCGCACAGTGACGTCGGCACCCACCAGGTAGCAGCGCCACAGTTTGAACGCATGAATAATGGCGAGCTTTTCCTTGTCGTGGATCGGGTAGTTGCGCTCGGCAGCTTGCAGCTTGCGTGATTCGTAGGCGATCGGCTGCAGCCCGTTCCCGAAATCCTGGAGAAGCACTGCTCCGATGGCGAAATCAGAGGCGTCGGTTACGACTTCGAACGGCTTCGATGGGTCGGCGATGCGCAGCACAGGAGGGGAAACGAGAAAATTCTTGAGCTCCTGGAAAGCCGCCTCTGCCTCCTCCCCCCACACGAAATTCTTGTCCTTGTGCAGCAGGTCGGTCAGCGGGCCGGTTATCCCCGCCATATTCGGGATAAACCGCCGGACGTAATTCACGAACCCCAGAAAACTCTGAAGCTCCGTGACATTAGTCGGGGCCTTCCACTCCTGGATGGTCTTGATTTTCGCCGGGTCAATTTTAATGCCGTCGCGGGAAATTACGTATCCTAAAAACTCCAACTCCTGCTTAAAAAACTCGCACTTAGAGCCCTTGGTGATGAGGCGGTTCTCCTGCAACCGCTTAAACACTGCGTCCAGGTCGCGGAGATGCTGCTCCCGTGTCTTGCTAAAAATCAGGATATCGTCCAAATAGACGATGACACATCGGTCTAGAAGATCCCGAAAAACCCTGTTCATGGTCAGTTGAAATGTCGAAGGCGCGTTCGTGAGGCCGAAAGGCATCACTGTGAACTCGTAACTCCCATAGCGTGTGCGAAACGCGGTCTTGTGACAATCGTCGGCGAAGACCCGAATCTGGTGGTAACCGCCACGTAAGTCGATTTTCGAGAAGTAGCGAGCGCCGCGAAGTTGGTCAAGAAGGTCGTCGGTGCGTGGGATTGGGTAGCGAGATTTGATGGTCACCCGGTTCAACGCGCGATAATCGATGCACATGCGAAGCCCGCCGTCCTTCTTCGGAGTGAACAGGATCGGTGCCGCGAACGGGGAGGTGCTCGGCCGAATAAACCCGTTCTCCAACAGTGCGTCAATTTGTCGGCGCAGCTCCTCGAGTTCCGGCTGGGTCAACCGCCACTGTGTCCGAACAGTAGGTTGCGCGCCAGGTTCCAGCTGGATTTTATGGTCTTCGGGTCTCTCGGGTGGCAGCCCAGGTGGCAGATCGTCCGGGAAAATGTCGGGGTACTGTCGAATCAGCTCCGCTAAATCCGGAGGTACAGCTGCACACAGCTTCTCGATGTCCTTTCCGTCGGTGTCGACTGCCAACTCTCGCAAACAGACGGCGAACAGCTGTGCACCCCTGTTGAAGTGGCGAGCTATAGTGATGGCTTTGACGCACGGGGCTTGGATGTAGTCAGGTGTCCATGCAGGCAGCTTAATTAGCCCCCCGTGCTTGCTGATGCAGCACGATCCCGTTGTCAAGTCGATGATGAGATTGTGTCGTCGCAGCCAATCGCGTCCCAGGAGCAACACGTCGTAGCCGTCCAGCGTCGTCGCGAGGAACTTCATGCTGAAGCCGAAATCGTCGCCGCATTCGATCCGCACCGTCCGTGTTTCTTCCGTTATCGCCAGAGGCGTCCCATCCACGAGGCGTGCGTCGATTTCGGGCAGACACCTGTCAAGTTGCAATCTGCATCTTTTTGCGCTCGCCAAGTTGAAGAGGCTATGGCTGGCCCCCCCATCGACGAACATTTTCAAATGATTTTTTAACACCTTGCCAGCGACCAGCACAGGGTGATCCACATGATTATCCCCGTTATTCGGCCGAGTGCGATCGATTGCATGAATCGGAACCACGACTCGGTGGGGATGATGGTGTTCGGGCGACGGAGCACAGTCAGTAAAGGGCCCGCTAATTACTGACTCTTCCCATTTCCCTGCTCCTTCCTGTCGTCCCCTGTCAGCGGCATTTTCTCCCGGCAGTCTTTCTTGTAGTGACCCACCTTCCCACACCGAAAACACGGACCCTTAGGGGGTTGGTCGGGTGTATGGACGGCGTTGATCGTGGCCCGATGGGTCTGGCCACGAAAGCTTCTCCCATCCCTGGAAGCTGCTCTCGCGTACTGCATCAGCGCATCCGTTTGTAGACTCCGCCAGTCGTACAGCTTCAAGAAACGATGTCGGGCGGCCCCTGCGAACCTCGTACTGTATCTCGTATTTAAGGCCGCTGATGTATTTATCCAACCGCTCTGCTTCCGACATGTCATCCACTTGGTCGGCGAGGCCCATAAATGACGCCGTGTAGTCTTGGACAGAAGCCATCTGCGACCATGCACGCAGCTTCATGCGAGCTTGCTCCGAGGCGGATACGTGCTCGAAGCGATCTCGTAAGGCTGCGCCCCATTCTTTCCACGTGCGAATCTTGGTCACCCCGAAGATAGGTCCCATCCGCCACTTGATGAGCCACTGTAGAGGTCCCGTCTGCCGCATGTGTCACACCTGTCGGCGTCCCTGTTTCCAAGGTTCGGCGCCACCATTCAAGCGCTGCACCTCGAAGAAGCGAAACCGCGTAATTAATACGCGTGGCATCGTCGTTAACGCCTGCTGCCGTGAAGAAGACCTCGACACCGAACAGCCACCCCTTCACTGTAGTCGTCTTGTCCGTAGGATTAAACGGGGGCGGGTTGGCGGGCTTGATCTTAATTGTCGTTACTGCAACTGGCGCGGCTGCCGCTCGCTGCCTGTCCTCCTCTTCGAAGTAACGTGTGAGCGCATCCAGCAGATTGCTCATCGCCTGACTGTTGCCCTCGCCTTCGTCCACAGGCGACGCCTGACTCGAGTAGCGTAGCAACCTTCCTCCCCCCTGCTGGCCCGTCGCGTTTAGGTCCTGCCCCCCGTTCCTCCCTGCGCCCCCCGAACCTACGCCTTTAGGTCCTGCCCCTGACGACGCCGCTAGAGCTCGCTTCGCTAGCCAGCGCGCTGACCTGACAGCTTGGACGTCGCGTGACGCTGCGGCCTGCATCGCGCTCAGCACCCTCCTCCCTGAGTCTGAGGAGGCTCACTTTGCTCAGGTTCGCACTGCTGCTGAGTACCTGACTGCGATTAAGGCCCGCTACTCCACTCCTGCTGCTGTCTCTCTTGGCCGCCTTTTCCTC